TTGAGGAGCAGCGGGCTGCCACTGTGCGGCAACTAGGGTGCCGCAGTGTGGAATTAAAGGTCTTGCTCAGGAACCCCGAGTGAAGGCTGTGGGGATCAAACCGGGTACTTGCAAACTTCTAAGAGCACAAGCGCACTGCTCTAACTACTAGGCCAACACTAACCTAAGAATATATTTTTTGCGAATCCTCAGATCTTTATGGATTGAGTTTGCATGTGTGGTGGTCATTGATCAGAGAAACAGCCACAAGTACCTTTAAAAATGTGGAGGAGCTGTAGAAAAATCAAATCTGTTAGCAAAAACTTTTTGAGTTAGACATTTGTTCCATGTCCATGTGCCAGTTGAACCGCAGCAACAAGCCCACATCAATATTTATACTGGCACATACAGTAGCTACAGGAGCTCAGGCGTTCTAAGTTCTTTTTATCGGTATTGTTTTATTTTTCCTGTCCTGAACGGCTAATGCAAAAGGTATTTTTTCTTTTTTTTTTTTGCATTTAAAGGCAAGTGTAGAAAATGTCTTGAAGAGCAAATATTTCTGATTCTTGGAAACAAGGCCTCTGACTGTCCATTTGAAGAATAAAGCTATCAGTGAAGGTCTGTGGTTTTACCTAACTGCCTCTAGAGGCAAAAAAGGAACACAAAAACAAAGACTTAGAAAAATTAGCCTTCAATTTTATTTATCTTATTTTCAATTTTATTTATCAGGAAAAATCAAATTAGAACAATCCAGGTTTATTTTTTATACTTGCCTTTCAGGGCTTTCATATATATATAAAGTAAGCCCCACATCAAAGTTCTTATGATGCATTGGATCTACCTTTAAAACCCAGAAGGCAAGAACCTTTCTTACTGGGGCAAGACGTTTTATTTTGTTATTTTGATTGACATATTAGCAATTTTTTTTTCCAAAATTAGAAAATAACTGCATCACTTACCAAATGTATTTAGTGAAATCAAGTGTTGTTGTTTTTTTCACTCTGCTTCGACTGCTTGTACTGTATCTATTTTTTACTTAATTCTTTGAGTGTTAGTTTTAGTGTTCTTGTAGGTTGAGACTTTCAAAAAGATCTAAGTTGCAGGCACAGCTGAGAGTCCCCTGAGAGTCCTTACAGGCCCTCGTGGCAGTATGAGTGGATGGGGAGGTATGAATTAGGCTTTTGTCATAAGCTCCACAAATCTGACCTTTACAGACTGGTGGCAAAAAGAGAGCCATTGTTGGAGATACTGTAGCTATAGGAAGTTTTATTTGTAGTTTGCACATGTAAGAGACATAGCAAACATGTAGAAGAGGGTTCACTGGTCTCATGAGCCAAAGTTCTTTTTCCTTATGCTTGGTCCTTGCAATATGCTATGTGTTAAACAACTAACATTGCACATTAACCTAAAGCTCAATCCCTACAACAGACCTTTCTCGCCAACCTGATATACTCTGTAATTCAGACAACACTGATTTTTCTCAAGTATTCTTTGGACATCATTGCAACTACTCGGACAGCTATGCATAGAATAAGGTTGTATGTTTATAGGGGAGTGTTGGCTTAGTGGTTAGAGCTGTGCACTTGTGCTCTGAGAAGGTTGCAAGTACCCGGTTCAATCCTCACAACCTGCACCCAGGCGCTCTGAGCAAGACCATGCTCCCCGGGCGGCGCAAAATGGCAGCCCAATGCTTCCCACGGGGATGGTTAAAAGCAAAGGTAATATTCTCCAGTGGGAGATCAATAAAGCTCCACTAATATTATCATTATTATTATTATAGAGAAGGAGTATATTCAGTTGACCTCTGGAAGCTATCAATTGCAATGGCTATTTTAGGGGCAATTTGGATGTATTATTAATAATGTAAAAATGTAAAATTTTGTTTATAATATATAATCTTCCCATGACTAAACAATTATGTTTAAAATTTCTATACAACACAATAAAGTATATGGTTATGATGTGATCAAAATAAAAATACCTTAACTGATACAGTAATTTAAGGTCAGTTACAGGGAAATTTAAAAAAAATTTTTAATGACTATGGGTTTTGTCTGAGTGGATGTGCAGCAATGTTACAACCATATATGTGACCCTCACAACTAATTCTACTTCACGGTACAACACTAGAGTCATTATAGGAAGCCATGTGTTCCTGATTAGCCAGACACAGATTACAGGGTGTGGAGCACAGCTTGCTGTCTGTTTGGCTCCTGGCTTTTTCTTATGTGGTCAGAAACTGGACATATATGATTGCAAAGGCTTGTCACCCACCTTACTCGATTCCTGTCTCTCTAACAAACTCTGTCTCACTTCCTGTCATTCCTGTCCATCAGTCAATAACATTTTGAATGGTAGGATTACTGTTGGGGAGGTCGTTCCTAACTGCCCTGCATACTGAGCCAAGACCTGTCACTGTATTTTTAAAACTGTGCTATAGCTGGTAAGGCAGCTGTGGCTACGCCTTGTGACTGACGACAGATGACAAAGGCATGGTGCTTGTTGTTGCTTTAGCAATCTGATACGTATGTGACCTTAGAGAGGGGAAATTGTTTTTTGATTCATCTCTCTGGAGGGAAGACAGAAGTCAGGGTCAGACATGGAGCAATGCAAAGATAGATCACAACGATTTGCTCAAGAACAGCAGAATGACTTTCATCAAAGGACCCAAAGCGTCACAGCCAGAAGCCAACAAAAGTTCCAGCAACTTGCTTGCATCCTCTGTTACTCATAAGACTTAGCTACAGTTGTGGAAAAGAAATCATTGTCAAAAAATCTTTTTTTTCAGGTATTTTCTAATATTTAACCTGAGTTGCTTTGTTTCTGTTGTTTTTTTTAAAATATATTTAAGCAGATGGATACTGTTCATAACAAGAGGATCTTTCTAATGCTATTTTTTTGACTCTAAAAGTACATTTCACAAGAACGTGGCACAGGGTTTTCCCCCTAGCACTAATTAATAGAATCCCCACTCTAAGGAGGAAACAGACAATTTTACAAACACTTCATGGATTTAACACAACTGGTTGTTCCAACACAAGGATCCTAAGCACACATCAATAGTGGAAGGAGCTAACATACATAAAGCTCTTAGAGAATTCCCTGACCTTAATGCTGTTGGATTTCTGTGAATAATTTTTGAAAGTATGGCATAAACAATACAGCATGTATAATTTACTTTTTATGTCAAGAAGAGGCGTCAAACTTTCTGCCAAAAATACAACAGCAGTTTCTAAATAATAATAATAATAATTGTTTTGGTGGAGATATAACACATATGTGAAACATTTAAGTTTCAAATATAATTTACAAGAACAACAGTATATATATGCTGCACTGTAGATATTGGAGATGTTGTGGCTGAGAGAAAATCCAGATACAGATACTTTTTCCTGTCTTGACAATTATTTGAGCATCTAAGTTTTACAGTGACTAAAGTAAGAAAAAATAAAGATGTCATGTGCATTATTAAAAGTCCAAAATGCTTGATAAATATTACATATTGAGTCTATGTAAACAGAATGCAACACAAGGACGAATCATTGTTCTTGTATTGAATTTACAAGTAAAGTTTACATTGGAAAGCACAAAATATCCTACCTGAATACCAATCTAATGTATCTAAATATTAATCTTTTAACATCTTAAAAACTATAAAGTACAGCTGAGAAAATGTGTTTATTTTAAACAGAAGAGAGTACAAAAGGGAATCTGTTAGCTTTAATTTCTTCATGATCTTAATAAACCTAGAGCCAAAACTAACTTGAAGTCAGCCCCTTGCATCAAACCAGCCTACACATGACATGTATTTTCCCAAAGCTGGCAAGACTAGACTGCAACTGCGTGCTCTGAGAAAACTAGAGCCATTATGTTATAAGTCCATGCTAACTGGAAGTTAAATCAACCTTGGTAACCTTTTTCCATGCAAGAACTCGAAATGATTTGGAAGTTAGATAATTGGAGATCTGTAATGAAGTTAATTCTGTCTGTTTTGTTAAACTTCCTCAAGTCTTTGTAATTCAAGGTAGAAAGGTCCATGGCTTTGTCATCACAGTGGTAGTTCAGGTGACTGGATTTAAATTTAAAGTAACTCCTTTAGGATGTGCTGACTGAAGAACAGCAGGCAGACATAAAACACGCCTTGAGGGTACAGACAGACAAATACACACAGACATATTCAGCAAATACCTCAAGTGAATATCAATCGATGTTCTCCAAATATTTTGAACATATTTATAAAAACCAATAGTTGTACACAGAAGAGATTAAATTCTTCTCCCACATTTCCACATTATAGGAAACTGACCACATAAACCAATGCCCTGCTGGCTTTGGTAGACAGGATCCGGTGCCTTTGAGAAGCAGGAAGTGTGTGTCTCTTTATAACAAGCTCTAAAAAGCAAGCAGGATCTGCTTAGGTGTTTGATCTTTTTTCCAGCTGCAAGTGTTGCAATTTACCCAAAACTGCTGCTGGAAAAAGTTGCTCAGTCTTAACTTCATAAACGTTTTCATCATCTGTGTCTCAGCCCCATAACTGCCTGGTTATAAATGGCTACAGTTTTCCTTTGTCAGCACATTAATAACAACAAACCCCTCTTGGCAGCAGACATGTGATGTAAGCTAAAACATGCTAATTGTGAACACATATGGGACACATCCACATGTGTAGACCTGAACTCAGCAGAAACACCCAACCCCCACAGCTCACTGTATGTTCTCCCCCTTTATTTGCTGAACTGCTCTTATGCTTTTTATTAACTTCTTAAATTCTTCAAGGTTCAGCTTCCATTGTGAGAAAAGTATTAGATGATTTGATCACAATGATGGGGGCATAAAACCGGAACAATACAGCCTATAGAGTTATGACACATGCCAAAGGGAGGAAACCTTGTTAAACAGGGGGACAGTTTTATGGCCTTTGGACACATAATACCAAAGAGTTGAATGTTGGGTGCAAAACTCTTAACTGTGCGGCTTTGTGTCTGGAAAAGTTGGAGATAACAAGATGGTTTTGCTTCAGGATTCCAGGCACGAATGTTTATTTTTGTTGGAAACATAACTGTCTGTGGCTAGAAATTGGAAGAACATTTTACCCGCCAGACTGCCAGTAAACTTACAAGCAGCTGTTACCACCCTCTTGTGGTGACCTAATGAATTTGCTCCTCTCAACATGGAATGACTGATTCAACTTGGTGGAGAGAGACGTTTCTCTTCCAACAAGGGATTTTATAGTCTGCAAAAAAGCTGCGGAGTCACAAGGCATGACTCCCATAGAGAAGACAATGGAGTCAAAGATCCGAAGAGGAGATGAGGCCAGAAGGTGAGGGGATTGTAATTTTTTTACTAAAATTAAATCCCAGGTCAGCATCATACAGCAGGATTTGTACCAGATAATAATAGCAGCTTATTAAAATCTGAATTTTAGAGGAACATATGATAGAAAGGTGAACATTAATAGGTAACATAAAGCACAAAACATTACAAACTTTTCCTATACAGCAGTATTCACCTGGTGTTTCCACTTGAAGCCTATACCCTCTAAGAGAAGCCTGGTAGATTGAGGTTTCCAGGTATTATTTTAGCTACTTATGGGTCTGTACTCTTATCAACATAAATTGCTTCTGGAATCTTGTGTTTCGAGGCTTTCTGAGTCACAGCGATGAGTGCACTTACTACCACTGCCACCACTTTGGCATTGAATATCCAAAATATCTTATACAATATCCTATTGTACTGTAGCTCATTACTTTGTCTAAGATCACAATGTATCCTTGCTTAGCCATGACCTGTCTTTCTGTCTGAAGTCCCTCTGGATATCAGACTTATTATTCTCAACCTGTCTTGGTGGTGTCACTCAGTTTAATTGTGGAACCTCCTGCCCATACCTAGCAAAGAATTCCCAGTAGTATTTCAGCCCCACTATGCATCTTTGGACAGTTTGCATTTGGATCCTCTTTGCCGTTGCCGACACCTCTATCTATTGTTTCATCGCTCCGGGCCTATTTCTGTGCTGCTGTGATTCATACTTCTGTTTCAGCCCTCTCTTTAGAAAAGAGAAGAAAGCTAAACCAACACAAAAGATTCCAAGCTGAACTCATCTTCTCAGGCTGCAGCCATTCCATATTCAGAGCTAAATATTTAAGCAACAAACAGATGATATGAACACTAGCAGCTGAACGATGAGATTTTAACTAATTTAAACTTAGGCAAAAATATAAATTGATATTGTATGTCACACTTTACGGAGGAGTATTAGGGCCAGATTAGATATTTTTTTACAAGGATGAAATTTTAACATTACGAGAATAAAGTCATAACATTAGGAGAATAAAGTTGTACTATTATGATAATTAAGTTGAAAAATAACATGAATGAAGTGATTATACCGCAACCAGTTTCAGAAAGAAAGCTTCAAGCTTCGACCAGCATATGACAGCTGAATAGCACCACCAAACAGCAACCTGAGTCCACTTTGACACAATGCCCAATTTGATGCTGGTTGCTAAAAGATTCCCTTATTTGTTATTGCCAAAGTATAACTTCACATGATGCACATCATTTTAGGGCAGAAAGTGCTTCTTGTAAGAGTTGTCATAAAATACAACTTTAATACAACTTTATTGTTGTAATATCACGACTTTATTCGTGATATGAAACGGACGTTTCAATTTGCATGTTGTCTAAGCAAAAACAAGGCTTTGTTGTGCTACTGTAAAAAGCAACTCAACACTATTTCTGACATTTGAATTGAAAAAGCCTGGATGGGATGTGAAATGTCTTCAAACTTGGAAACAAAGTCCAGTGTTTTTTTTTGTTTTTTTTGTTTTTTACTTTTTTGGAAAGTTTTTTTTATCCTATGCATGAAAAAAAAAAAAAAAAAAAAAAAAAAAAGAATAATGCATACATAACAGCAACCAAAAAGTTCCAAGGTTGTCCAAAGTAATTTGTAGAATCAGATGTAACATACACACATTAAGCAAGGTTCTACTTTAATTCTAAAAATATTAGGTGGTCCCTTGGAAGGAAAACAAAACCCCTTTTGACTATTTTATCACAAGGAGAGCTCAGAGGGCCTCCAGGGTGCAAGTTAATTATTATTCAGACAATGTGGTGTAAAAGCTTCACTGTAAAATACAAAAAATAAGATAAATGAGAAACAGACTAGGAAGTTGATTTCAACATTTTCTCAGTCAATTCATAGTTATTAAGCATAACTAGGGCTGGCTCAAAGATGGTGATAAACCTTTGAGTTTGAGAAAAAAATACATTTCTAAAAATTGCTCACAAACTATAAACAAGATGGTATTACAAGTTGAGCATGTTTCACGTTTAAATTGACAAATATATTTTTCATTATCATTGAGAATCAGCTGAATTACAAAAGACTGAACTTTGGTTGTCGGTGGATGAGAGCATCTGGTTGGCTCTCAGGGGCCTCATCCTCTCAAAGCTGTACTGCTTGGGAAAATGTGATAACAGTACACATGTTCTGCAATCCTGCTGATGTAAAGGAGACTATAACTTTATAACCAGGGGGCCTTCATAAATCAAAAACAGACTTACAACTGAGATTTTGGCAACTGACCTATATTTATGCAACCAGGTGGCAACATATGTGATTTTGTTCTCAGCCTATTAAAAAGATTATAAGAGAAACACTGGAAGAAATACAACAATTCAGCTCAGGGAGGCTGAACTCCCCCACATGAAATTCTGGTGGACTTATCCATCCTCTATACCTGACCAGCAGAATTACTAGGTGACAATTTGCTGGTTGTAGCATAAGCAGAGGGACTCAAAGACACAAAACAGTCTTTAAGATGTTGGCCTGGTTGGTGCTCACTTTAGCTATCATTACTGGAGCATCAGAGAGCAGCAACAACACAGCAGCTGAAGAAAGGCTTGTCATTGCTCGAGGTAAACTGATGGTGAGTTGGACTGTAAAATGCTATACATGTGGAGAAGTTTAAACCCTCAGCTGGATTTCTTTTTATGCCAACACGTTTTATTGTGAAATCTTTTGTTAAATGAATCAGATATTCAGAATATGTAACTACGATGAGCAGGTCCGAAAAGTACACAACAAGAAAGGTTGTTGTTGGTTGGCTTGACAATTTGCTTTCTCCTAAGATATGAAATGAAACTCAGTGATTGCACAATGAACCACACACACATCCACAGGCAGCAGTTTTAACAATTGTCTGTTGTCCTTTCTGCAGGCTCCCAGTGTGGTTGGATGATCCATAAAGAAAATGCCAGAGCTCTATAAGTTTCTCATGGAGCGATGGGCTCTATAGTATCCTTTTCTTTCTGAGATACAGCTTCAATCTGTTTGCGAACTCCTCGCCCCAGCTTTTGTGAGCTTTCTAGAAGTTTATGCCACGTAGAATGCATGGACGTTATTATTTTAAGTCTATCTGTTGTTTTCCCTGATCTGCCTTTCCATATAGCCATAACTTAGAGTATGACTCATCAGAGGAGAAGAATCCCCGTCTTATATTTTACAATGAAAACGACGAGGTGGTAAAGGTAAAATGTTTTAGAGCTTTATCTACAGTAGGAGGTTCATGAATGTAAACACAAGAAGATATCAGCAAATTTAAGGCTGGCAAATCTTATGTGACACGAAAAGGCCAAAATAAGAACTACAACCACGTGCTTTGATTTTATGTATTCATTACATATTATGAATAATACATGAATATGTTTAAACAGATTACAGAGAACAAAATAAAACATGAAGAAAACTTAACAGGCTATCTTTGTTTGGGACATTTTTTTTAAAGAATTGCATATAGTTTTTTCCTCCTTCTGAACTCAAATTAGAGCCTTTTCTGCATAATTTTACACTGAATAAGTTTCCTGTTGGCTATGGGGTCTATCATCTTCTCTTCAACATTGCTCTATAAATTCTTTATGGGGTTTAGGTCAGGCCAATCTAGCACAGTGATTTTATGGTAATTTAACCAGTTGTTGGTATTGCTGCGAGTATTAATGGATGCCAAGTCATGCTGGAAAATAAATAAAAAATCTCCTTTAAACATGTGAGCTGGGAAAAGTATTTATTGCTCCCAAGTCTAAGCTTAAGGCTTAATAAAAGACAGTCTAGCAATACCAGTGGTTCTCTTGCTGTAAACGCTGTACTGGACCTCTTGCAACAAGGATTATTTGCCTCTTCTCTCTTCCATGATTTCCAAATGAAGTCTGTGTGTGGTGGAGGATGAACAACTGACTCCAGCTACAGTCTAATTCTTCTGAAGCTCCCTTAAACCCTTCAACCATTTTGCTCTATAATCCTCACATGGCTGCTGCTATCCCTGTTGAGTGTGGACATCTTTCAACCACATGTTTACCCTCTACCCAACTTTCCATTAATATGCTCGAGTATTGCACTTTGCATAGAGCCAGTTTGTTTATTGATAACCTTCTATGTCTAGGTTGTTGAAATCTGTATGCGGAAAACTGTTAGGCAGGTGATTACCTAATCTAAAACATAGTATTTGTTGATCAGTGGTGTCAAAAGTAGAGACATTTGTTCCTTAAGTAGAAGTATAGATACTGCAGTTTAAAAACACTGATAAAAGTTGAAGTATCAACTTGACCTCTTTACTCAAGTAAAAGTGAAAAAGTATGTGCTCCACAAACTACTCAAAGTATAAAAGTATAAAGTTACGTTTGAAAAAAAACAGGCAGATGCCACTATATGAATTGAAAACTCAATTTTTCGACTATTTAAAAAAATTATTTGAGATAGGGCCAAGGATGACGGAGGCCTGTTTCTGACCTTTCAGACATTTTGACATCTTTTTCTGAATCCGACATCGTAGCATGGCGTAGACAATTCACATTTGCAGTTTGAAGAACACCTGCTTGATTCTGATGATTTCCTTTAGCTAACCAATGAGTGTTTGCGTTATATCCATCCATCCATTATCTTACACGCTTGTCCCAATTGGGGTCACGAGGGGTGCAGGTGCCTGTCTCCAGCAGTCAATGGGCAAGAGGCGGGGTACAACCTGGAAAGGTCGCCAGTCCATCGCAGGGCGTTTGCGTTATATGACTCATCCAATTGCACTAGTTTTCACTAGATGTGTCACTAGATCTGCATTGGATGGCGCACATGATGTGAAATAAATATTTATGAACATTAAACGAAGCCAAGAGTAACGAGTAATGTTGATATTTAAAATGTAAGGAATAGAAAGTACAGATACTTATGTGAAAATGTAATAGAGTAGAAGTCAGAAATAGGAAAAAAAAAAAAGTAATGGAGTAAAGTACAGATACCTAAAAAGTGTACTTAAGGACAGTAACGAAGTATTTGTACTTTATTACTTGAAACCTCTGTTGTTGATAAGAAATATTATTTTATTAGTTTCATGTAGTATATTACAATTTTAGGTAAACTTAATTTCAATCTAATCTGATGAATTCTAATATAATCTTAGATTATATCATATTATGCGATCTAACAATGTAAGTTTTAATTTATTAATAAACATTTATTTATTTATT